ACTGCCCCTCCCAGCACCATCACTGTCCCTACAGCACTGTCACCCCCTCCTGCACCATCATCACCGCTCCCCGGCAACACCAACATCACCGCCCCCCCAACACCATCATCACTGCCCCTCCCAGCACCATCACTGTCCCTCCAACATTGTCACCCCGCTCCTACACCAACATCACCCCCTTCTACACCAACATCACCATGCGACCCCCAACACCATCACCACCACCCCACTACACTATAATCACCGCCCCTCCTACACCAACATTGCCTTTTCCTACACCATCTTCACCGCCCCTCCCACATCATCACTGCTCCTCCCACACCATCACCCCTCAACACCATCATCACCGTGCCCCTAACACCATCTTTCTAACAGGATTGGACAGGTTAGATGCAGGGAGGATGTTCCCAATGGTGGGTGTGTCCAGAACCAGGATGAAGATTCGGGGTAGACCACTTAGGACGGAGATGAGGAGACATTTCTTCACCCATAGCGTGGTGAGCCTGTGGAATTCATTCCCACGGGAAGTAGTTCATGCCAAAACACAATGTATTCAAGAGGCAATGAGATATAGCACTTGGGGTGAATGGGATCGAAGGTGAGAAAGCAGGATTCGGCTATTGGGTTGGATGATCAGCCATGATCATGTAGAATGGTGCAGCAGACTCGAAGGGCTGAATGGCCTCCTCCTGCCCCTATCTTCTATGTTTCTATCACCGCGGCCCCCAACACCATCACCACCTCCCACTCAATGACACTTTTGTGGGAACAGCCTCGATCCATAGGCTAATGGGGAGTATCAGCGCTGTATCAGTGCTGCCTTGTGCTCCCATGAGGAGCTTGAGTCATTCATCAAGTTTACCTTTCACCCCAACCTCAAAAAAAAGTCCTTACCCTCAACAACTTTTCCTTTAACTCCTCCCACTTCCTACAAACTAAAGGGGTGGCTATGGGCACCTACATGGGCCCAAGCTACACCTGCCACTTTTTAGGATAGGTGGAACAGTCCCTCTTCCGCTGTTACACCGGCACCATCCCTCACCTCTTCCACCGCCACATCGATGACTGTATTGGCAGCGCCTCGTGCTCCCACAAGGAGCTTGAACAGTTCATCAACTTTACCAACACCTTTCACCCCAACCTTAAAAAAAGACTTGACTACATCTCCTCATCCACCCTCCTGCAAGAATGCAATCCCTTCCTCCCAATTCCTCCGCCTCCGCCACATCTGCTCCCAAGATGGAGCGTTCCACTCCCGGACATCCCAGATGTCCTCCTACTTCAAGGACTGCAATATGCTCCCTTCGTTGATCCACAATGCCCGCAACTGCATCTCTTGCATTTCCTCCACTCCGCCCTCAAATTCCCTCCACCCCTCCCCCCTTACAAAAATGAGGACAGAGTCCCCCTGGTCCTCACGTACCACCCCACCAACCTCCACATCCAATGTATCATCCTCTGCCACTTCCGCCATTTACAATCCGACCCCACCACCAAAGATATATTTCCCTCCCCACCCCTATCTGCCTTCTGTAGGGACCGGTCTCTCCGCGACTCCCTCGTCCGCTCCACACTCCCCACTAGCCCCACCATCCCTGGGCACCTTTCCCTGCAACCGCAGGAAGTGCTACACCTGCCCCTACACCTCACCCCTCACCTCCATCCAAGGCCCAAAGCAAACCTTTTATATCAGACCCGTACGTCCTCCAACCTGGGGCTCCTCTACATCTGTGAGGCCAAGTGGTGACTGATTCGCGGAGGCATCTGCGCTCTGTTCGCTATAATCAACATCACCTTCCAGTCCCCAACCATTTTAACTCCCCCTCCCACTCCCTGGCTGACATGTCCATCCTGGGCCTCCTCCAGTGTCACAGTGACGCCACCCGCAAACTGAAGGAGCAGTACCTCATATTCCGCCTTGGGAGCCTACAGCCTGATGGCCTAAACATGGAATCACCAGTTTCAGAATCTCCCCACCCTCAGCCTCATCCCACCTCTCATCACCACCTCCTTGACCTGATACAACCTGTCCATCTTATTTCCCACCTATCCGCCCCACCCTTCCCACTGACCAATCCCCACTACCCCCTACTTACATCCACCTATCACCATCGCACCTACCTTCCCCCAGTCCCATCCTTCCTCCCTCTGTTTATTTCCCTTCCCCTTCCTTAGTCCTGATGAAGAGTGTAAACCCAAAACATTGAATTCCTGCTCCTCTGATGCTGCCTGACCTGTTGTGTTCATCCAGCTCTGTGTTGACTCTCACTCCTAGGCTTCTGCTGTTCAAAAGGTTTGCTCAGCAACATAAAGTCATAGAGTTGTACAGCACGGAAACAGACCCTTCGCTCCAACTCGTCCATGCCGACCAGATGTCCTAAATTAATCCAGTCCCATTTGCCAGCGTTTGGCCCATACCCCTCCAAACCTTTCCTATTCATGTACCCATCCAGATGACTTTTCAATATTGCAATTGTACCAGCCTCCACCACCTCCTCTGGCAGCTCATTCTATAAGTGCCCCACCCTCTGCGTGTGAAAAAGTTGCCCCTCAGATCCTTTTTAAATCTTTCCCCTCTCACCTTAAAGCTATGGCTTCTATTCCTGGGACATCCCTACCCTGGGGAAAAGACTCTGGATATTCATCCTATCCATGCCCCACATGATTTTATAAGCCTCTAATTTGGCCATCTCTCAGGCTCCACTGCTCCAGGGAAAATAGCCCCAGCCTATTAAGCATCTCCCTAAACCTCAAACCCTCCAGTCCTGGCAACATCCTGGTAGATCTTTTCCAGACACCCTCAAGTTTAACAACACTCTAACTCTTCCTCCAGGTGAAAGATGTCAGTCAAGCCGTCACCCTCAGAATGCCTTAAAACTAAAGAACTATCCCCACCCGCGTCTCCACCCATCAAGCTCCCCTCACCATTTTGGAGATTCCCCTGCTGTTGGTGGGGTTAACCATGAGGATCTCTGTGGTAAGGTGCCCCTCCACAGCCTCAGTCATTTGCTGCACTGTACAGTTGATGTTGTTGTCTTGGATCTTGAACCAGTTGTCAGCATACCACCCGATCAGGAACCAGACGTATTTCTTACCGTACAGCTTCTCTTTGTACACCTGCAGCAGAAGGAGAGATTGTAGTGAGCCGGAAGAGTTGTTAGTATGGTGTGTCAAAAAGCAGAAGGTACAGGGGTGGTTGCGGTGTAACAGTGTCACAGTGAGCAGTCCATCCAATGTCAGGCAGCATTATAATGATATCTGCGTTACTGTGAGGTATTTCCAATGTTACAGTGAAGACAGAAGGATAGCAAACTGTTATATCAAGGTGTTACAATGCAGTCTGTGTAATATTGGAGTTTTACAGTGAACAGTGTTCTATGTCTTACACTGAGAGGTGTATTATATCAGAGTGTCACAGGCAGGACGTGTTAGATGACACTGTCACAGTGAGGGGCGGGTTATGTCAGAATGTCACAGCAAGAGGTGTGCTATATCAGGGTATCACAATGAGGGCTGTGATATACAGAGTCACAGCGAGAGGTGTGATATATCAGAGTCACAGTGAGGGGTGTGATATATCAGTGTCACAGTGAGGGGTGTGTTATATCAGAGTCACAGTGAGGGGTGTGATATATCAGTGACACAGTGAGGGGTGTGATATATCAGTGTCACAGTGAGGAGTGTGATATATCAGAGTGTTACAGTGAGGGGTGTGATATATCAGAGTGTCACAGTGAGGGGTGTGATATATCAGTGACACAGAGAGGGGTGTGATATATCAGTGTCACAGTGAGGGGTGTGATATATCAGAGTCACAGTGAGGGGTGTGATATATCAGAGTGTCACAGTGAGGGGTGTGATATATCAGAGTGTCACAGTGAGGGGTGTGATATATCGGTGACACAGTGAGGGGTGGGATATATCAGCGTCACATGAGGGGTGTGATATATCAGAGTCACAGTGAGGGGTGTGATATATCAGAGTATTACAGCGAGTGTAGCATAATAAAGTGTTGTGCTGAGAGGCATGTTATATCAGTGTGGTACAGAGTGAGGCATATGTATTAGATGGTTTTATTGAGGTCTACATTGGGGTAGCGCTGAAATAAAAACTAAATATGTATTTATATTAAAAACATGGACCTATATCTTTTAGAACTGTCTTCCAATGCGTGTCACCAACGATTATACAGAAATGTAGTAAAATTTGTAACTGGATAATGCACAGTGGTCATTACACAAACAGCAACAAAATACTTCCAACAATAAACCTCTATAAGGTCACCCTTCATGTAGCCCCCAGCATATTCAGCTTCTCCCTGTAGCTCAAATCCTCTAATCCCAGCAACATCCTTGTAAATCGTTTCTGAGCACTTTCAAGTTGCACAACATCCTTCCTATAGCAGCAAGACCAGAATTGAATGCAGTCTTCTGAAAGTATCCTAACCAATGTCCTGTACAGCTGCAACATGACGTCCTATACTCACTGACCAATTGCGTTGGTTTAGGAAGGATTGTCAACTGCTTTGTTAAGAGTGCCA